GAGGTACCGAGAGAGAATAAATTCCTAATGGTGCGATTCAAAGTAATAATTAGTAATGTGTCCCAGAATCCAGGGAGCGTCATAAACAGTGTCAGAAGTTTGGGCAACCTACCGTCAGCCGTATTCTACATTGCACTTTCCTAAACAATAAAATACTCGTATCCCTGGTATAACAACAAATTAAAAGTGGGAAGCTTTGAACATGACTAATACAGGCCAGTTAGCTGGATAGTCGATGACTAACAGGCAGATCCGTAAACCGTTTCTGTGTCATGAGGACGGTATTTAGGAACCCAGCTCACCCGGTGTGGAAAAGCGCTTCTGGCCCGGGGGTGAGACGAGAGCAGCCACGCTGATCGGAAACAAAACCCCATTGTGGGAACTTCCCGAATGGGCCGCCTTGGATGGGTTCCCCACGTGGCTGCCCAGCTCTCCGTTGAGCCTGCGGAGAACGTAACTGACTTTGAAGATGCCTTTGCATTGGCAAGTGCATCAAGCGGTTCTTCCATTACTCATTACTCGTGCAGTGGTGCAGACTTCTTTTGCATGCAGTTATTCGTTGTGACCATTTTATCAATTGCAATTGATCTGTTGTAGCGCTACATGCTTTATGATGCAAAATATAAAGCAGTGGGAAAGGAGGCAGACGTTGATCACAAGAAATGAAAAACAGCAATTAATTGTATAACACCATCTGAAATACGATATGCTTTGACTTAAAAGCATTATAGTAATTTTTTATTTATGAGTGGGGCTTATAAATGATGCACTTACAGAATGAACTTTGTGGGTTTTTTGTTTTGTTTTTCAAAAACTGTGTCTTTCAGGTGCTTTATAAAATTTTTGATATATCGATGTAGTACCTGTTTAAAATCCTGAAAACTGTAAACAGAAAATAAAAATTAAAACATAACCTAGAGTTGGTATCCCAAATAATCAAGAGGTCATTTTTCTTTTTGATTTCAAACTAATTATCATCATGGCATTATGCTGCTGTCACAAAAATGGAGAATGGGATATTACAATACTGTACTATTTTCTATCAGGTGCTGGGAAAGGGAGATTATGAACTTTGATAGACTAAGCACTTACTAAAGACGATCTGAGCGTGATTAGAAGTGAATGAAAAGCCACAGGAGAAAGTTAAAGGCAAATGAATTTATCATTTGTATATGGCTCTTGGCAATTTCTTTCTAAAAATGTATCTTTCTACCTGGGACCATGGTGACAATTTGCTTTACTCTTAAAACTATATCTGATAATTACTCCCTGAAAGAGCAGGATCTACCTTGCTCTTTTCAGTATCTCCATGCCTACAGCAGTGCTCCGCACATAGTGAGTGTGAAAGAAATTTAGTTTTTTAATTAGCGCATGAGAATGCACCCTGATTACATTTTCAAGCAAATAATTAACAAGACATTTGGAAAATGTAGAATGCAGTGCATTATGTCCCACTCTCACCCTTTTTTTATGACCAAGTATATGAAAGTAAATCCCAGACATGCCATTTTACTTATGAATTACAAGTATTGAGTTTTATAATATTAAAAACTAGTTCTCTACATGTTACATTTATTCTCCTGCTCTAAAACCATTTTAAAAATATAGTTTAAGAGTGAGGAAGTAATAGTATTTGTTTTCTAGAGCTCACCCTAATGACTTCATCTTATCTTAATCATTTGTAAAGACCCTATTTCCACATAAGGTCACACTCTCAGGTCCTGGGGGTTAGAAGTCAGCATCCTTGGGAGGGAGCACGATTCAACTCAGAGCCTGCCAGTTAGACCTAGATGATTTTGCTTCTTCACAAAAAAATGAACTGACTGCAGAGAACTGACTAGATCTACATAGGTGCCTTTCCCCCATTTGTTATAGTAAAATAACAAAAACGAAAAAAAACTCCAGTCACAAATGCTTGTTTTAGACTATTGTATGCCTGTTGAAATTAAAAGCTTATGAAGCAAGCCCCATCATCCAAATTATAAGGTATCTATTGAACTCTCCCTCACATATAGCAGAGAAAAATGAAAAATGGGCAGAAAGTTTAACATTCATAAAAATTATAACAAACTTGTGCTCACCTATCAAACTGGCAGAAATCCTGAAGTTTGACAGCACGCTCTGTTGGCAAAGCTGTGGGTAAACCACCACTTTCAAAAACTGCTTTTGCAATGCCAAAGGGGCACAAGGTTTAGAGAGGACAATTTGCTGAAATATTAAAATTATAAATATACTCTATGGCCTAGTAATCCTTCTTCTGGAATAGTGTGCTACAGATATAAGTACATACATAGCTAATTATGTGTGTTCCAGGACTAAACTTTTTAAAAAATAATTTTGTATTTTTCTGTCACTATGTATTTGACCCCCTTAATCCAGTAATACTTCCCCATCCCCCGTCCCTCTGGTAACCATCATACTGTTGTTTGTGCCTATCAGTTTTTGTTAATTTGTTTTTCTTGTTTGTTCATTTGTTGCTTTCAGTTTTATATCCCACATATGAGTGAAACCATATGGTTCTAATTTTTTATCTTTCAATTATAGTTGACATACAACATTATATTAGCCTCAGGTATGTGACCCAGTGATTAGACATTTATATAACTTACAGAGTGATCACCCTGATAAAATTATTACCCATCTGACACCATACATAGTTGTTATCACAATATTATTGACTATATTCTCTATGCTACACTTTACATCCCCATGACTATTTTCTAACTACCAATATGTACTCTTAACCCCTTTACCCCTCTTACTCATACCTCCCAACCCTACTCCCATCTAGCAACTAAAAATTTAAAAAATAAAAATAATTATAGAGTTGATTGGTGAAGAATTCCCAACTGATCATCTGCCCACAGTCATTTCCTCTATTAGTCTTACCTTAATAACTGAAATGGCTTTGCTTTCAGTCTTACAGATCAATTCATGGAAAGATAGTGTTAAAATACAAATGATATTTGATATTTAAGATAAGTATGAACAATTTAGTTCAAACTATGGGACAGAACATATTGTGATACATCTTGATT